GGGCTCTGTCGAGTTCGACAAACTATAGTAACAGGGAGTCTTCCTCGACTCCTCTGTGCTTGGAGATGTCCACCTTGAAGATTTCGGGAAGACGGGTTGTGTCGTTCTGCTCACAGCAACATTGTATAGCTGCTGTCTCAACAGCTCTGTCTTTTGAGCACCGAGTTCTCTCAACTGCTCGGCTTGTTGAGAGTCTTGCTGGTGAAGCACGGATACTTTCTCTCTCTCAGCGACAAGTTCATTTAGGATGAACCTGGCTATAGCGGCATGTTGTTGGTCTCTGTCTAGAGACTCCAACATGGCGCTAATGGCGATCTCGCCTACGGTAGAACTCATTCGTTCTACCGCACTCCATTCGATGTCACTCAAATGGTTAAACCCTTCACGCGTGGCGTGAAAGGTCTCTTCATCATCCAACATGTTCATGTTGGATGTTGTGGTCCTTGGAAGGACTACAAAGTGCTACCAGGTGTAACGGGGCACACCCTTGCGTGGACTTAACGCAAGGGTTTTGGGTGCCCCGACAGACGTACACGAGGCGAACGAGGAAGCGTATGGTAGGGAAAGTAAGTCTGTTGTATTAATATAATTAAGTCTAACCACTGTCTCTCTGTTTAACCTGACTCAATTATGTTATTGTAACTGAGTGTATGGTGACGTCTCGTCACCACTCATTGCGCGCGTCTTGCGGCATTTGGTGGGTTGATATCGTCAAGATATCAACCAATGAGCAGACCCTTTGGTCGCTTCACCAATATCACCATTATCGGTGATATTGTTCACAGAATATTCACTTAATATTCTTTGTTGTCACTTTCTTTTAAAGTGACACTTCCATGTAACGGGCTGCCCCGTTACAGTGACCGCTTAGCTAACGTCGACCGAGACAAACCCTGGAAACGCCAACCAAGACAGGTTGATGACATTTGCTGTGTGATGGACATTTGAGAGCATGTCCTCGATGCTCTGTTAGTCGTCGCCAAACGAGGCGACCTCATTGTCAGTAGATCATATGTCGTTCCACTTGATAGATGCCGGCACAACTTGACGGGCGAAGGTAAAGGAAGCACTTCCCAATTTGGGCTCTTCGAGCAACAACGGACCGAGACGAAGACCTCGTAAGAGCCAGTCAACTGGACCCCTGACCTTGGACGGAAAGTCCCCCTGAGTGGGGCCAAGGTTCAAAGGGGGATGCCTTTTCTCCGCTGCGCGTGCTACGGGAGGCACAGCAGCGTGCGACCCGAGAGGGAAGCAATCCCCTGGTATCCCGCGGTGTGGGGGCACATCGACGGAGTGTCGAACCCCTGCACCCAAGGCGCAAGCGAGTTCCTGCTATTTTCCGTCCGCCTTCTTCAGTCGCCGATCCGTTTGCCTAGCGCGGATCCCGGTCCCACGAAGAGAACTTGCATAGAACGGGATTTTGATCGGAACCGTCCAGGTGCACCAGCGGCCTATCGGGGGTGATCGGCTTGGTACCCGGCGTTTTCTGCGATTTTCGCGCCCTGTGTGCCCTCAGGACTGGATACCCGTTTCCACGTGCCCTTTGCAGAGTGCCCCCCCCCCGTGAAGCCCAACGTCTCGAGCAAGCAGAATGAGAAAGCGAGGAGAAGAACGACACATTATGAAAGAAGATTAGGGAGAGATCCATACAGACATCTTAGCGCAGTCATAACGACCCAATCGACAGTCTGATCCTTGCGGGGTTAAGGAAGCGTTCCGAATGCAGGAACGGACGATTACGGCGAGCAGAAACTGCCGACGCAATCATTAGCAAATGCATCAGAAGCGACGACTGGTGGAAGAGCGCGGCTTCGGCGACTGCTGTATCAACTCATCATGTTACTTGGAAGAGACGAGCTCAATGAGCTTTGCGTATAGGCCCCGTTGGACCGCTATCAGATGCGTCGTTCCGGAGTCCGTGATCCGGGTGGCGTCTCATTCGGGTCAGAGTGACAACATCTTGAGCTGGACGAGGCAGTAGCCCGATACACGACTGGCATTTCGGCCGACTCATCGACTTGATTCGGGTGTTTGCCCGCAGTCAGTCAGAAGTGCGACCATCTTCGGGGCCAGCGAACAAGACGACAGCGCGTGCAAGAGAAGAGGAGCTGAAGCCAGTTTCGACGACAATGGTGACAAAAAGAAGACGACGCCGAGCGTGCTGGTGATCTCCGGCAAGGGGCGTGCGACACAGGAGGGGGGGCGCGGGCTCACGTGATGGTTCAGATCGAGTCGAGAGTCTGCTCCCAATGGGTTGCGTGTGCGCGGGTCGCAATGACGCATGCCAGCATCGTCCTACACTCGACTTGATACAGCCCGCCGCGTCGTCCCACTTGAGGCTCTACCACTTCTTCTGCACAACATGCCAGGACAGACTAACAATGCATCGGCATGCTGAACTACGCCGAGCAACACCATGAACATTCATGGGAACAAGGTACTTCCACGTGCTCGAATGTTGGTCCACGACAAGCGAAGGACGACCACGATGCGAGTGCATTCGACCTATAGGTCCGGCATTTTCTCGTGCCTATAGGGCGCAGCTGGAACACGCAAGACGCTCTTTTCGCGCGTCCTCTGCGGGACCAGGTTGTACTACCTCTAATCATGCAGCCTTTGCTACGTTTCAGCTTCCGCCGAGCAGCTTCATCGCGACATGTAGCTTTCTTGTGCTGGCTCGAGGCGCAGCCATCGCACTGAGCCGAGCCTTAACGGACACAGGAATTAGCTGCTGCGCAATAGTACCGATCGGATTCGTGACATGAACGTCAAGTCTGAATTGCAGTGCCGCAGCTCGTCTTGTCGGCAGCGTCTCGCTTGCCTTTGTACGGTGCGACGCGCTACTGCTGGTGACAACGTCACACCTGCCGTTCATCGCATTGAGGGGAAAGTACTGGATCGGCGGCTAGGACAATTCGATCAGGAGCAGAATTTTCGCGATGAATGTCAGTTCGTCTCAGGCTTGCAACACATCGGGAGTTACTCGACTCCCATTGCCCGCAGGACTGATTGTGAGCGGCGAGTAGTCTGATTTACCGGCGACACCAGAGATCTACTGCTCCGACTGTCTGTCGTCCCACTTGTTACAAAAGCAGATCTTGGACGCCTCTACGAAGCTGTACCGGCGGCAGAACTTGACTGCATCTAATCGTTCACAAAGTTGAACCTCTTTTGACTTAATGGGGCTACATGTGGAAGAACCGAATCATTCGTGACCCGCATCTACAGAGGTGCTGTTTCTTGCCTTGACGTGCCCCATTTTGCGTCGTTGGGTCTCTTGGCAGCTCCGATCGGAAGAGCGGACCGGGCGCCAGCTCTATCTCGAATAACAAAGCTGGCTACGGCGGCCCGCGAGAATATGAGGCAGGCGCCCGCGCACGCATGTAGCGATTGAGTCGGATACGAAGCTCCGTGCACGACACCTTGAGCGCGTGTCCAGTATGCAGGAATCGAGCTCTCGCCCAGGCTTTGAATTGGCGACACTCCAAGTCGCCCGGACGAGCGAGTGGACGATCCGAGCAAAGGAAGGAATGAAACGTTGGGGCGTTAGAGACTCTATCTTGATTTACTGAGAGCTGGAGCGGCGGGCGGATCAGCTCCTCGTTCGTTGATTTGCAAACGCGATGGCCCATCTGCTTCCGCCTAGACATCTGGTGTCTGGCTAACAAGAGACCAACCGAGTCAAGCGGAGACTATAATCATGGGTATCCTGTGCTCGGCCTCGCTGCAGTGCTTGGCTGGCAATCGCCGCCTGCGGTTGCTGCATCATGCTGTCCAACATGTTTGTAGCAACGGACTCAATGGCAAAGAGCAGAGAGGCGTTGTCGTGTGGTCACCAGATGGACATCGTTTTCACCGAGCAATCCTTGAAGAAGGCACGATGGATAGTCAGCGCCGCACGTTGGTACGAGATGGCTTTGCAGTGATGGCGTTGAGCGGCCGTCCGAGGTACACGAACTGAGCTGGTTGCTTGACAACAGGACGGTGGTGCTCACTAAGGACCGCGTTAGCAAGGCGCCCCTTGCCTGCATCTGCTCGCTTCCGTATTGTACCACTGCAGGGTGATTGCATTTAGAGGCGGAACTTACCAGCATGGCCTGAGGAGAAATTTTCACCGCGAAATCAAGCGCCGTCGTCTCGGGCAAACTGTGTGTATGTGGAACCGAACCAGATTCATGCGCGAAATGGGCGACGTAGGCCCAACTCACGCGGCCGTCCGGCTTTCGCGTGGCCGTCAGGCTTCCCTGACCGCTGGACTTGCCAGTTTGTAGATCAGCTACTGCTCGAGTCTCCATGCACGAGCAAACGATGACGGCAGACGAAGAAGCGCTCGAGCCGCTAGTGTGGGGTAACTTCTTGCTGTACATTGCTGAAAGGCGGTGGAGCCATGTCAAGTCAGGATTTGCTGGCTTTGCACTGGGTGTCTACAGCTTCAATCAAGTCGGTGTCAAAGCGCCGACAAATCCCTATAAAGTCTGCAGTGTCAACCGACAGTCTATGGCGCTGCCACGTGGTAAACGAACTGTTCGCCACGCGAGCGGCAGTGAGTTTGCAGCTCTCGGCCTCCCGTCCGTCCACCTTCGTCAGTGTCCAGCACCAGCAGCGATCATGACGCGCCCGCGTCGATTTGGCACCCAGGCTGTTTGACAGGTGCCATTGACCTGCGGTTGTATTGAAACCGAGGACGGGAAAGTCATGCCACTACAGAGGTTTCGAGGTGATGCGCCACGGACTCCTGGGCAGACGAGGTCGTCTCGTGTGGTTCTCACGTCGTCTGCCTCGTCTGTGACTCCTGCAGAAGTGCTTTAATGCCACATTAGCCGGTTCACTTTCGAATTTCGCGTGTATTGCGTCCGTCGAGCGAAACATCGAAACGCGAGCGCTTCTGTCGAGAAGTTCCATCGAACATCGACATATCCGTACATACCTACTTACGTACGCACCTACGTACCTCCCGACATTTATACGTACAGTAGGGTGGGACCCCCGTCACGAGCGACATGGGCGTATCGATGATCACGTGCGACTTGCCGCTATCGCTGGCTACTCCTCCTACTGCAACGACCACCAGCAGCCTGAGATCGAACGGGAAGGGCCCACCGCCCTGGCGCCCTGATGCGGCCAGCGCCTCGTGTCTCTGCTGTGGCAACGACTTTTCCATCTGGACACGACGCCGACACCACTGTCGTGCCTGTGGGGAGCTCGTCTGCGGCGAGTGTTCGCCCTTTTCTGTGCGGCTGCCTGAACTCGGCTACAAGGGCCGCGTGCGCGTGTGCACGCAGTGCAACGCACTGGCCAAGTCTACGACCACGACAATGGCCTCGTCTGGCTCGATGAACTCGCTGTCCGGTCTGGAGTCGGCAGCTGCGTCCAGCGAGTCGTCGGAAAACGAGCAAGTGGGAGACGTGCAAGAAGAGCTCATTTTCTGTGCGGTGGAAGTGCTGACGCAGACGTCCCGCACGAAACGGTTCAAGGTGCAGTACCAGTACTTTGTGCAATCCGAGGCCGTGAGCTGGCTCATGGATGCTGGCATCATGTCCAGTCGCACGGGATGCGCTGCGCTGTTCTTGCGCCTCGTGGACTATGGCTACGTGACGCTCAAGCCGTGGAACGGATCCGGTCGCAGTGCCTTTTACGTCCTCAGTGACGAAGTCACGCGCGAGAACTGTGCGTCGCACTATGGCACGACGATCCACTCGGAGACGAGCAAGTGCCACAATTGCACCCAGTCGTTCCAGAAAGCACTTGCGCCAGCTGAGAGCTTTTGCTCCATTGACTGCAAGACAAACGCACTTATCAACCAGTCGGACTCGGCTCGTATTCGCCGCTTTTGCAATTGAGAGGGCCAGTGGCTGCGTGGACATCAAGTGCTGTCGCCGCTCGTGATCGGAAACCCGTCCCCTGCAGTGTCTGTCTGTAGTGTATCATAGTCTTTCATGTGTATTTACAAAAGAGTAGTCAACCCGTCGTTTCCAAGGTACACATTTGCACCAGTGCACCACATACTAAGCGTTTCTCTTCGCCTATGTATTTCGCTTCGGGCGTTGGTCAGCCTGTACTCTGACGTGACAATGCGTATCTACAAAAGGATCGCTCTGTTTGTGAGGATCGCTCTGTTTGTAAGGATCGCTCTGTTTGTAAGGATCGCTCTGTGTGAGTCACCAAGAAGATCGCAGTCGGATATATGAATACCAGCGTCTACTATTCCCTACAACAGTGCGGCTCTTCCTTCCGCATCTGCCATCACACCAGTTGACCGAAACAAGAACACGGCATTCACACCGCTGCACGTTTGACACAACGACTGACGTGTGCTAACGCTGCAGAACATATCGAAAACCGGATCAACGTCCACGCACTGCACGACCCAACAAGTGGTCCGACTGCTCCACGAGCAAAAAGAGACTTGTGCAACGCTGGACACGTCGTCTTGTCGCTCACTGACCTCATCACCATACAACCCCATGTCCTTCTCTCCTGTCACCACTACGTCGCCCACCCCCTTGCAGCTAGTTGGCAATAGCCGGAATAGCTCACATCCACAGCCTTTCGCACCTGTCGATGCCACAAAACTGCTACCTGGTTTTCTATTCTCCTCCTCCTTCTCCTCCTACACATCCACGCGGTCCGGCAGCAGCTTTCGACGCACGACCTTCACCTCCTTCCATGGCCATACGACTGCCAGTACGCGCGAGTCAATGAGCGCCAGCGGCACAGGTCCGAACGCGTTGCTGTCGTCACTGCACGTCGGGTTGTCGCCCTCGACCCAGCACCGACCCGGGGGCACCAGACAGTAGCGGCCCCTGCGGTCCGTCACCACATCTCCTTCGAGTCCCACGAGTCGCTTGGTCAGAAACTGCCCCGGAGCTTCGGGGGATGCGAGTACAACGACGTCGCCCCTCCTGTAGCGATGACGTATCTGCACCGAGAACTTGTCGAGCAGCACGCGGTCGCGCACGGCGTCTTGAGACAGTCCGTCGTTCAGTGCGGGCTGCATGGATCGGCCTTTGACGCTCGCGAGACTCACGCCCAGCGCGTTGACCGTCACGCCAACAGGCAGCCAGAGCACGATTTTGGTCGCAGTCTGCCACCTCATGACGGACTTTGGTAGTATGGAAAGTCTCACGTGGGGCAGCGGCGCTGGGACACCACGTGAACGTGTTACTTCACTGCGCTACGTTCGTCCGTGTCAAACGTCGCTCGCACTCGGGCGCAAATATTACATATTCGTCAGCTTTTTGTGCGCGGGTTTTTTTGTTCGAAACTTGACAGTCAATTTTTTGTGCGGTATTTGAACGTGTATTGTCACGAGTCGTTCGTGACTTCACAGACGTGCATGAAGGAATAGAGCGTGGCTAGGACGAGAAAGTGGAGCAGCAAGATGTACCCAAACGCCATGTTGCGCGTGATGCGGTGGGCCAGCAGCAGCTTGGCACTTGTCAGCAAGATCTTGTCCACGGGATTGAGATTCGTGAAACGCTGCTGCTTCTCCATCTTGTTGAACTGCACGAACGGATTCATTTTGGCTTCGTACATGCCACGGTACCGCGCTTCCACGTCAGACGTCCCTGCAGTTCCATCTTCCAGCGCCAGGACGGAGCCAGGCTTCATGCGAGATGTAGCCGACTTGCTGTCGCCGCCGTAACTCTGCAAGTAGCGGATCTTGTGGTACAGCTGCATGTTGTCATTCTCGAGACGGGCCACCGTGCTCTTGTACGACTGCGCCAGCTCTTCTGCGCGATTTTTCTCGCCCTGACACTCCTTCATGCGCTCGCGAAACCGATCGCGCTGGCCACGGACAATCTCTAGCATCTTGCTGTCCGACGATGTGGCTGAGATCGAAGACGTGGCATCTGCTGCTGCCGCCCTGCTCGCACTCGAGGTCCCAGTAAATTGATCTTCCATCGCATCCAAGAGGATCTCGGACCCAATGTCGCCCCCAATAACACCCGAAGCACGAGTTCGTTGAGCTTTCTCGAGTGCAGCTACACCTTCTTCGAGGTTGCGAATGAGCGTCGCCTGCTCTTGGATCTTAGCGTCGCGGTCGTGAAGAGCACTCTGGACCTCCTGCAGTGACGACGTTCGAGTCTGCAGCAATCTCTCGCACTCTTGGAGTGAGTGCTCCAGGCGACGTACTCGAGACACGAGTATTCTTTCGACTTCAACAGTAGCCGCCTGCAGTCCACCCACAGCTTCACTGTTCTCGGCTGCGTCTGCAGCGTGCACGTTGCTTCCTCCAACATCATCACAATCACCATCACCATCATCACTGTCGACAACATTGTACTCCAGCTGCTGCAACACATGCAGCTTCCGGGTCACCTCGTGAAACTTCTCGATCGTCGGGCGAGCTGCCAGCTGGGCTCCAAGATCCTTCATACTACGCTGCGCACTCTCCAGAGCGCTTTCTAGTCGCTTTGTATCCTCGGCTGCAGCTGCACTTGACGTCGCAAGGGCCTCCTTGAGACGAAACACTTCCTGTCGCAACAACGCAATCACTGCTTCCTGTTCTGCCTGCATCTCCCTGCCCGCCTGAACGGTCTCACCTCTAGCTGTACCAGCTCTTGGCAGCACTGAAGAGTGCCCGTCCGAGGTCTCCGACGTCGTCGAAAGACTGAGCAGCTCATCAAGCTGTTTCTTCAATTGGGCATTTTCCAACTGCAGCGTCTGTGACAAGAGCGATTCCTGCGACATCGCTTCCATTTCGGCGTCCAGTGCATTACGAGCCCGTCCTGACCGCTGCTTGTGTGCAAACAGCTCCGACTGCATGGCATCCAGTCTCACGAAAGCGTCCTGTAGCTCATCGCGAGCAGTTTCCAATCGACGTTCATAGTCTCGTCGCTGTTGTGCCCATTCGAGACGTCCATTTTCCAGCTGACTTTCCAGTTCTCTCGTCCGTTGCATCACTTGCTCATGGATCGCGTCTTCCTGTTCCCTTGCAGCAGCTGCAACTTGTTCTTCGAGATTCCGGATCGTGATATCCTGATTCTTCAGCGTCGCAAACTCGGCTTCAAAGTCTTTCAATTCTCGCTTCAATTTCGCGTTCTCGATGCGCAAGTCATCGGTATCAGAGCCCGAGGCCACGAGCGATAGAGCTGGTGCAGGATCCGGAGCAGCATAGAGTCCCTTATACAGCTGGAAAAACGCATTTTCGGAATATTTGGCTCGACGCGTGAGATGGTCGATCTCCTCCTGGTACGCCTTCAAAAGCGGCCCCAGAGCCGCAGCCTTCTCAGAATCACACGCCAAACGTCGGAATTGTCGCGTCGTCTCTGCCAGTTTCTTGCGGGAGCGCACACTCGCGTCTTTATCGCTCTTGATCGTACTCCCCTGTGCATCGAGCACCACGCGCTTACTGTCGAGATCGAACGCTTTCCAGAACTGCAGCACGGGCGACACACTGTGTCGACTCGTAGACGACCGGGGAGCTGGTGGGCCACCTCTGTTGTCATGATGTCTTGTCGATGCTATGACAGTTGTGGACGACACGTCCGTCATGACGTTGCCGCGTGCGACTTGAGCGAAACGAAGACGGTATCAGTTACAGTCTGACGATGCACGTGGTAAAATTACTGTTTTGTTGGGCATGCGGACAAATGTATGGCGTTTACGAATGATCACGCTTGGCTCCTCGACTTACTAATCGAAATATCGCGCTCGAGGGGGTTAGAAATCGACAACAGCATGGGAGGCGAAAGAGCTCTGCGAAAATAGTACCGCGCGCGAATTTTAGAAATCATGAGCGCGCAGGTGTATCAATTTTGCTGCCGACGCTGAGTGACTACCACGATTACAATCCAAGCTGACGTGGTAGTCACCATCGGGCCATGCGTACCCTTCACCGAAGCGGCATGTTCGCTCTGCGGACACTACGACAGAGCCAGCAAATGCTGCTCTTGTCGAACACGCAAAGCCGCAGACTGTCGACGCACGTCTCTGTGATTGGTAGGACGTTGTAGCGTGGTCACCCCTTTCTTCCATTCGAAGCGCACTTCGGACTAACACGTCAACCTGCAGGTTTACACTGGAAAACAGACGAGACGCGATTGCGACAGGTGTTTGAGGCCTACGGGACGCTGGAGACGGCTCACCTTGTGACGCCCGAGCACTCGTCGATGCATCTGTGGGCGTCGGTCGTGTTTTCGACGTTTGACGAAGCACTGGCGGCTGTGAGTGAGTTGAATGGACAGGAGCTGGACGGTCGACTACTGCGTGTGGGTATTGTGGATCCACCAGTTGAAGGCGAGTCGGTCGCCGACGACACGTCGTGACGAACACTAGTCGAGGTCAACAATGCTGCTGCTATTCCTGCAAATATGAAAGAGCTGCTCGCGTGTTGCGGGGCGGTCACCCTCGTTCTGTATTAGAGTTTCCAGCAGTTTGTCACTTGCTCCATGCTGACTGGATATCGGTGCTACGGGTGATAGAACGCGTTGTTGGTGCATCTTCAGCGCCATGGACTCTCGTCAGCGGCAAAACTATATCGTGTTTTCATTGTTCAGTAGATCCGTGTAATGTGTGCGATGGAAGAGACATGCAAACACTTGGCGTTGCCGTAATCACACGTATACATGTAAATGGGGGAGCCCGTTACATGTCATTGACACGAAATGGGGTCAATAATTGGAGCGTATCCTCTTGAGTGACGATTATCTACGATATTTAATTTTTAGGTGAATAGTGCACGAAATATTGTCGTCGAAGGTACCTTTCGGCATCGCTCCACTGATTAGTTGATAAAGGTCGTCATATAAACCAAATCAACCACCCATTGCGGCTAGAAGCGCGCATGCAGGTTGTGATCGAGTAGCTATATTTGACCATGTTCGATAACATTGTCAAGTGCAAGTTTCGAAGAGATTATGATAGGAGGGATCCAGCTATCCATCACATGTCGCTCCAATTTCCTTATATCAAGCGCGTTCGTTTAGTAGATTGACGGTTCTCTGCATCTACGGTGTACGTGAGATTTCGAGGCACTTGCTTCCAACGTGGTCAGTGTATGTATTTTGTACTGTGTCAATACAAGCGTTTGGACTCCCCTCTTACAGTTGCTGACACATCGGCAAAAGCACTTGATTTGCGCAAGCTCGCAAACCTGCCGCACTCGTGACCTGCAGGAACCCCAGTGCGACCGAAAAGGAGTGTTGGAAGGTTTTGTCAGTACAACACTCGCCATCCGGTAAGCCTAGACACGGACGATTCTATTACGCCGCTTACGTCTGCGCTGTGGCTATAGTGACGCAGCATATCGATGTAGCGATTGGACATGACAGCCTGGGTAATGAGCATCAAGAAAGTAGCATCGTATCTACAGTCGAACGTATCAGACATCGACTGGGTTGTTTTACGTACCAACTAACCGTTCATCGTCCATCTTCTCAACCAACTTTGTTGCACTACGTCAGAGAGCTTTGCCAATCGCACGCACACTTTAGCACCGAGTTCTATTGCGCGAAACGCAACAAACAGTGAGACTGCGTCAGTTCGTCGTGTCTGAAGTATCTCAACTAGTTCACCAATCTTGGATTACATCGAGCAAAAGGTCGGCAGTCATGTCGCATGTATGCGGAAACTAATTCTTGCGTCAAACGTGTGTCTTTGTCCTCGCACTTAGGTGGAATGTTCGTGCTAGAAAGCAAATTTCACCAATGGTCGCCATTTACCGACCGTCGTCATCACCAGCCAACAATGGCTTCGGAACACAAAGGTGGACAAGTAACGAGTGTATAACTGCATCCAGAGGCACTTCATGGCCTTCTTTTGCCATCCGCGTTTTGCTGACACGTACGGTACTCGTAGAATTTACTGCAGTGTGCACGAAGCTCAAGCTCGAGATGCTGGAGCTGCTGCAGACGAAGCACGAGCTGCCCCAAGAGACTCTCGATTGGCTCAATGAAGTGGTCGAGTACAATTGCAGCGGCGGTAAGCTCAATCGTGGAATGAGTGTCGTCCACTGGTACGTTATTGACGTCTGGTGAAAGACCGCCGGTCTGCGCTTTGTCGGAATTAGTCATTGTGTTTAATTGGCCGTTGGCCGACACGTGTGTTCTGTTGATGCTTTGCGTGGATATAGTACGCAGGCCATGGCTACAGGCAAAGTCCTAACGCCAGAGCTGCAGGAGAAGGCTAGCATACTCGGCTGGTGTATTGAATGGGTGGGTGGTGTCGTTGTGTGAACGTACCAGGTGGCTTTTCCAGGCAGCGAGATTTGTGTGACCGGGTGTATGATTTTCTATGCAATGCAGCTTCAAGCATTCTTCCTGGTAGCGGATGATATCATGGACGACTCGACCACACGGCGTGGACGTCCGTGCTGGTTTCGCAAAGCCAACGTGCAGATGATCGCCATCAACGACGCGTTCCTGCTCGAAGCCTTTGTCTTCCAGATCCTCAAGAAACACTTTCGCTCCGAACCGTTTTATCTCGACTTGGTCGAGACTTTCCACGATGTACGCAGATGATTGCATGCAATGACCGCATGTTGCAGAGCTAGCAATTGATCGCATTCGTGGTGTCGGTCTGTTGGTTGTAGGTCATCTTTCATACAGAGATTGGCCAGCTGCTCGACTTGACGTCGCAGTCTTTAGACAAGGAGGTTGACCTTGATCGGTTCACTATTGAGCGGTGCGTTCACTGGAGCGTTTCGGGTAGCGGTTGTTGATGCGTGGATGATGTTGGTTTGTGTCTATTGCAGGTATCGTCAGATTGTGATTAATAAGACAGCGTATTACACGTTTTACCTCTCGGCTGCGTGCGCCATGTTCCTCAACGGAGTCGCGGACAAAGCCTCGCACGATATAGCCAAGACCATCTGCGCGCAAATCGGCGAGTACTTCCAGATTCAGGACGATTTCCTGGACTGCTACGGTGATGAGCAGGTGATTGGCAAAGTGGGCACGGATATCCAGGACAATAAATGCAGCTGGCTGGTCGTCCAAGCGCTGGACCGTGCGACGCCCGAACAAAGGAAGACGCTGAAAGATAACTACGGCCGCAACGACTCGGATGCCATTGCAGCGGTGAAGAAGCTGTACAATGAGCTTGATCTCGCTGCGGCTTACCACCGCTATGAGGAGGAGACATACAAGGCACTCTCTGAGGAAATCGCGCAAGTGACCGTGATGCCGTCAGAGGTGTTCAGCTTACTGGTCGGTCGAATTTTCAAGCGCAACAAGTGAGCACTGTGATAACGACGCGAGAATGGAAGCCTGGGTGTCCGGAAGTGTGCTTGGGCTTTGCCGTGTAGAGGACAAAACAACAGTGCGAGATTGATAAGCAGAAAGCGATTGTTGCGCCATGTTGCGCCACCATGGTCAAGCTTACGTCAACGAAACGTCGCATCCTTACTTATCGGTATAACACGACAGGGAAGTTCTTGGTGATCATGTTGCCGTTTTCGAAGAGAACGACGACGTTTGTTTCGAATTCAACTTTGAACGCTGACGGATGTAAGCATAATCAATAGAATCAGAACATGCCATCATTTTGCTTCATCTGTGCAAGTCGCACTTGCCTGGGGTTCGCATTGTTGGACACGTGAACAAACGTGGGAAAATCATATAAATAGGGATTGCCATTTGACGGCATACGTCGCCCCATCCGATTTGAACATTTTGGACCTCCGTCGCTGTCCCGAACAACAAACAAGACCGTACTATCAGCTGAGGCAAAAGGGCGTGACGGGCTACTGCGTGTCAGGTACGTACCATTTCTCGTAACTCCACTATCATGTGCGACACTCTCTACTCGAATCAACCGAATCTCAACAGACCTGATCGGACTCACTGCTTCCTCGACAATAATCTGCCGCCGGGAAAGAAACAGTGAGATCAGCCGCAAACAGCTCAGAAACAATCGAGCATACCTCGCCTGTGAACGGCAGATTCACAGGACACTTTGTGCGGTGAATTTTGCCTGTAATATGGAAATACGGCATCGTGGACAGATTTCGCTGAATGCCGCACACAAGCACAGAGAGTACATGTCAGACACTACACCAGAGCACTGTACCATCCAGCTACCATTTGGCTCTTTTCCAATGACTCTGGGGTGATGTAGAACTCTTCTGGTGAGTCCAGCAGTGGCTTTCGCAGCTAGAAGTAACAACAATCCATTAGCATCTTTGCGTGCACGTATGCCCACACGATTCTGTTGCTGTGTGAACGTACTGGCACCTCCACCACAAACTCCAGTGTTTTGTGCAACTTGTTCTTCATGATGCCACGGACGCAATCGCAGACGATTTCGTACTTCACAAAGACGTAAACGCCGTGGTACGTCTCGAGCAGCTCCTGGCCATCGTTGCCTTGCAGCTCAAACTTGAATGGAAACTTGGAAACACCGGCTGGAACTTTACCCGCGGGGGCTACGGGCAGATGGAAGTACACGAGCTCCATCGGTGCTGCATCGTCGTGAGAAGGATCGGACAGTCGAGAGGTTTTGGCTGATAGCTGCAGCCGAACGCTGCCTTCTACTCTCATGGCCAGACCTTGGTGAGCAAATCCCTTGGGCGACGAGATAATGACTTGGCCCTCTACGGTCTCCTGTACATACGTGCAAAAGCATGACACCGAAAAGAGATTTTGCAATTAGTTTGTTGCTGTTTGAGTAAGATGGATCTGCTTCTCGCTGACGTACATGTGGATGAAAGGTATGGCTGATACGGTTCAACTTAACGTCAAGTGTTGAGCTCATTTTTGCGTTCGGCTGCCGTAGCGATTCGCTCGACTAACTGTGTCGCAGATAAGCGCGAAGTGATACAAAATGCAATATGAAGTTTGAAGTAGGTCCACGCAAAGCAAAAATTGACTGTACCGTCAAAAAAGTATTTGAGCCACACATGGAGAATAAAGTGTGCTTCACTCGTCGCATTTGTCGAATCAAACATCACTTAGATTGGTTTGCACGCGATGATTCAAACGCAGCACTAATGCAAGATACTATTTAAGAATGGTGCAAATAGTGTCCATACATAAGTTGCGTCGATCTGTACGCAACTTTGACAGTTTGTTGCATTTTTCACAAAGCCATGAAGTACAGTCAGCACACATACCACGTAAAAGCCCACTTCATGTTTTAAAAATTTCGATCGACGAGTTGGAGGCTGAAGGTATGCTACGAGACAGACCGCTGTCCTCTCGATGCAAGAATCTCCACCTCGCGCAAGATAATGCGCCATAATGTTCAGGAAGTATAGTAAGCGTAGACTTACATGCTCATGTGGCACATTAAGGACGGCTTGTAATGTTACGTTCATTCATTATTACAAAGTATTACCTGTATGCACTGAAAGGTGCAATGATAAAGGCGAAATGGATGATGAGGTACTCTTCTCCTTTCCAGATATCCTTTCGATTCTACGCCTCGTCATCTAAGTCAACCAAACAGCCTGTTTTCTGGCTCTATATTGATTTTTTACCACGGTGCAAGAATACACTCTTTACTCTTGCCGAGATCTGACAGCCCGATTCTCCCACGTCTTTAGGACGATGTAGACTGAAACAGAGGTTCGACGGAAGGAAGTCGCTCATCTCCTTAATCCGTACTCTACCGTCACCGCGTTTAAGCCGTGGAGAGAGGAGCTCTGGATGGATCACTGGATGGCAGCACGGGCACGGCGGTGACTTTGTTATCGCTAATGTTGCGGAGCTACACAGCTCCTTAAGTCCGAGGAAGACTTGACGCTCAATGAGCAACTTTGGTTCTACGAACCCGACTCAAAGAGTCAACAGCTCTACAAGCAACTTTGGTTCTAAGAACCCGACTCAGAAAGTCAACAAGCTCAGAGAGCTTACGGTCTCTGTTGCAGGGGGACCAGACGATTCAAAGAATCAAACGCACTGAGTACACAAGGAGTAGCTGCCTTAACAAGACGTTGCTACTTCCTTACGATCGCAAGACGCCTCAGAGAGGCACGTTTCTTTTGTTGATCAAAATGGGAACTGAATTTTGTTTCTTCATTTAGCCTAAAAGAACACCGTAGCACAAAGTAAATAACCTACTCACTTATGTCCTAAATAAACCAATTAAATGATCTCGTAATCAATGGTCGACAGACATCAGTCTTCAACAATTGATACTTGTGGTCTATTATTACTTTAAAGGGGATCCCATCCCTTGTGTGTACCACACCTATTGTCGACTACCAGTCGACGTGTAACCCCATTACACCCTCCCCCACCAGACTGACGTTTCCACAAAACGTCAATCGCATTCTTTCCTCGAAGAGGACGGTGTGTGTGCGCTTCAACCTCACGGTTGGCAAAACACAAAACACCATGGCATCGCCACCCCATGAGTCCTCGACTCTCTCGTCTTACCTTGGCATCAATGTGGATGTGGATTATGGTAGCGATACCAATATCCATGGTGAAGAGAGGACAATGTCCGACTCACCAGTGCAAGAGGCAGCGCCTCATATTGTACCAAACCCATTTGCCGAGCGTGGCGAAGCCAACGCGCCATCGGCGCCGCATCAAACACTTATCGTGGGCGATGCCATCATCACTAATCCGCTCGATGAGCAACAACAGTTGGATATTCAACTATAGGAGAGCGCTCAGCGCCGTATGCAGCTTGCTGCAACCCTTGAGGGTCGTCGTGGCTATCTGTTCACACCACTCAATGTGGAAGAGCGTATACGCCAAACGACAGGTCTTTCTTTGGCAACGTTGGCCATTGGCGCTGAGCCAACATCTTCTGATGAGGTGGCGAGTCGACAGGTACTTTGCGAGAGGTACCTGCAACCTTACTTGACGACTCATAGTCAATACAATTTGCGACTCGACACGCAAGCACGGAATGCACCGGTTCCACCGATGAAGGGTATACCCATCCTCTTATTCGCAGGCGAATCTCAGGAGGAAGAAGACAACGCTTTTGTCCGCTGGGTGCATCGGAAACGACACCTCAGCAGCGTGTTAGCTCTCAGAGCAAGTGCCGATGTGGCAGATGTTCGCCTAGAACGAAAGCTTCGGTATGATTACGCCAAGATTAAGGCCAGAGGCCAGTTGCGAACTCGCACACGCTATGCTCCGGCTGTGCCGATTGATGTGAGTGTTGGTCAAGCGGTACCCAACTACCCACCTGCCTTCACCACTATTGGTGAGAAGCGCTCTCGGTCGAGGGATGACCCCTGCCACGATGTTTACAAACATCAACGGCGTATAGGCAATCCTGCCGAAGGGATGTCTAAAACTCCCACGAGTTCTCCGACTCCGGGTACCCTCGCCACTTCACCAGTTACTGGTATTGACCCTGACGAAGACGTCGTTTCAGGAGTCGCTCCACATGGAACTGTTGGTTCCCTTGCTCATCGAGCAGCGTCGGTGGTGGTCGGGGTACCGAAGGAGGAACATGAGAAGATGCATCTCGAGCTGAGTGGTATCCTTGAGACATTGGGTAAGACCCAGAGTTAGTTTGACGCGATGCAAGCCCGTGTTCAGCCGTTGGAGTTAGGCCAAGCCCGGATGGAGGTCCAGCTTGACCTCCTGATACGGATTTAGCAACCGATGGAAAGGCCAACCTATGCGGCGCAAGCGCCTCCAACTTCACGTGAGACGGATCCCGATACGGCTTAAGCAAGTCAACGTAAAACACGGGGTGTGTGCGCAGTTTGCGCGGAAGGTTGAGCGTATACGCAAGTCCCTTCTTGGCGACGACCGTGAATGGTCTAATGAAGCGCGGGCGCAACTTTGTCTTTAAGACAGCATACACTGTATTTGTAGGTAAGCTTTTAGCGTTAAGCAGAACTTGGTCTCCGACCTCATAACGTTCAATACAACCTCTGACCTTGGCATCTGCGTGTTTTTGTTTTTCTGTCTTGGCTATCAGCCAGTGCTTCACGCACATGTCGTAAGACATTCAATCGCGTTGCAAGACTCTTTCTCACCTGTTTTTGAACAGTAGAAGGGCTGATATCGGCAAACCGATCGGCAACTCCTCCCCCACCAAGCCCTGAACCACGTAGTGGTAGCCTTAACGGAACGCGAGGGTGTGTGAGACCATTCACATAAAATGGTGTGTAGACGGTGGAGGCATGCACGGCGTTATTCAACGCAAACTCAACGACAGGGAGCACCGAACTCCAACGATTAGGCGTTTCAACGCAAACACTGCGCAAGATGTCACCGATGATGCGATTCACTCGCTCGGTTTGACCATCAGTCTGCGGATGATCCGCTGTGGACATGTACAAACGTTTGCCTAGCACCTTGAAGATGGACTTTCAAAACTTCCCAAAGAAGCAAGGATCTCTATCAGAGACAATTGCCAACGGCAAACCGTGTTGTCGAAACACTCGATCGATAAAAAGCGTCGCTGTACCTTCACCATCAATGGTATCTGGCACCGCCGCTAAATGAGCCATCTTGCTCAAACGTTCAACAAAGACCACAATACCCGTATTTTTCATAGGAATCCTTCTGTAATCCGACAGGAACTCTATAATGATGGACTCTTAACACCTCTTGGGTACAGGCAAACTAGCTAGCGCCGCCGCCGCATGAGCTAAAAGCTTCACTCTAAGACACGTTACTTAAGTAAGAGCATATGTGATGACCCATTTGCATAGTTTAGCCACCAATAGCATTGGCTAACTGAGCCGTAGGTCTTCTTCACCACCGAGATGACCACTTAACGCAGTATCATGTGCCTGATAGAGGTCCGATACTTCAACTCCTCATCATAAGGGGCAACGATGCGAGGGGTATCCTCCACATCCGTGCTATAGCACAACAGGCCCTGATCGATTTAATATCGATGCAGCCTCGCGCGTAATCTTGCCGACAATTCTATGTCTGAGTCCTTAAACTCCTCGCTCCCTATAGCACGTAGCAGATCTACACAATGTTCATCCTTGGCATATGCCGTACGGATTAGGTCAGTGACCGACGACGACAGAGTCGTAACACGAGCAAGCTCATAGTCAGTCCAGCGTGACAATGAATCAGCCAAATCATTCTGCTTGCCCGGCTTATACTTCACCTCGAAGTTGTACTCGGCAAAGAAGGAAAGCCAACGAGCCATTCTCTGAGAGAGGTGAGGCGACTGGGTCGCAGTGCGTAGTGACGCATGATCTGTATATATCACAAACGGCTTAGAGCCAAGAAGATGAACTTCAAATTTGACAAGAGCATACTTCATTGCAAGTAGCTCTTTGTCATGAACAGGATAGTTCTTTTCTGCAGTCTTCAGCTGCCGGGACTCAAACGCAATGACGCGTTCCCGTCCATCAGAATCTGTCTGTAACAGGGCGCTGCCTATGGCAAAGTCAGATGCGTCACAGACGACACTGAAAGGCAGATCAGGATCAGTCAAAGCCAAGATTGGCGCATGAAGAAGACTCTCCTTGACTGCTTGAAAAGCATCATGATCGGTGCTAGTCCAGCACCAATACACATTCTTCTAAGGAGATTGGATAATGGCCGAGACATGTCTTCATAGTTCAAACTATACTTGTGCAAGTATTTGGCAAGGCCAAGCCACTTACGTAAGTCCTTTTGGTTCTTTGGAACCGGCCAATCGACTATGGCTTTTACCTTAGCGAGATCCGCTCTAAGGCCTCGCTTACCAATAAATCACCCGAAAAAATGAATCTCTTCTGCACCAAAGATGCATTTAGACGCGTTGGCGTACAACTTTATTGTGCGCATGCACTCGAGCACCGCTCGTAAAGGGTCCATGTGATTTTTCAC